GACCAGACCAACCTTCCAGGGGACCAAACTATTCTTTGATCTCCTGGAACTGTCGGTTCTGGTCCTTGCACCGTTCCCCGTTGGGTGGTAGGTAGGGACAGTGGGAGATAGATAACATCTCGTTCCCATATGACGCGTCCCTTTAACCGGACTTGACGAGGTGGACAGGCCACCTAAAACCTGGAAAAGGTGCCTTGTAAAATTACAAGGTTCATTAAATATCAGGAGTAACTATGACTCTCTTACTGGGGACCGTGGTTACAACCCAGGCTTAGCTGCAGAGACAGTATCTCCCTGTGGTTCCCGCCGGACCCCGTAATATCGGGTGACTGAATCTGTCTCTGCCCCGGGAGTAGTTCCTCCTTGCCCTATTGACCAGCGGTCGCCGGCTGCTCAATAGTATTCTAGGCGTGAAATGTAGTGATAGTCCTAGTGGTTGTTTTACTGGGCCATAGCCCCTTGCTTCAGGGGTCATTCGCGAAGTCTCTCATGAGAACATGGGGGTGGTGTTCTTCTGGGTATAGCTAAACCCCCTAGACTGTGTCCAATCCATGGGGTCCTGGATCGTGAATTTTGTTTCGGTGGCGACTCAGACGGGAGAATTCCCTGTGGATACGGCCAGGAGGGCACCTGTGCCGGTAATATCATACTCTGAGTCGGAATGCCACATACCGTTGCCCCTGACATTTTGTAACTCGGATGTGACTATTTGGGGAGGGGTTCGCCCTGAACCGGTGGACTGCTTGGGTGATCTTCCGGAGGCGTATGATGCACTCGCAGGGGTGGTGGGGCCTCGGGAATCGGTGGGTGGGAGCCCACCGGGAGAAGGGGTCAGGTCGCCAGGGATTGCGTCACCCTCTGGTACTGCGGTCCAACATGATTTTGGGAGTCCTATCCTCGTACCGGGAGCCGAAGCCGCCAAGGTTTCTACCCCGGTAGTGAAGGTTCCTCAAGACCATCCAGCATGTCCGTGCTGTGGTACGAGGGTGGTGAAAGTAACGGCGTTGTCAGAACATCTTAGGAGGGCCCACGGTCGGAAACGGGTCCTATTTCAGTGCTCCCGATGCGGGAGGATGAATGAGAAACATCACAGCATCGCGTGCCATCTCCCGAAGTGCCAGGGGCCCCCAGTTGAGGAGGGTCGCCTGGGTGCACCTGAGTGGTGCTGTGAGGAGTGCGGGCAGAAATTTAACACCAAGAGAGGCCTGTCTCAGCACAAAAGATCTGTGCACCCACTTACGAGGAATGTGGAACGGATAGAGGCAGCTCGTCCGCACCCACTTACGAGGAATGTGGAACAGATAGAGGCAGCTCGTCCGAAAGGAAAAGGGAAGCGTGGTGCCCACAAAGGCTGTTGGATCGAGGCGGAGGTGGCCCAGCTGATTGAACTGGAGGGGAGATTCAAGAACCAGCGATTTATCAACAAGCTGATCGCGGAGCATTTGCCATCGAAATCGGCAAAGCAGATCAGCGATAAGAGAAGGCAGCTGGCGGCAGCAATCAAGACATCGTCGCCCGAGAAAAGGGTAACATCATCAACGAGTGGGGAGTCCTCCCCTGAAGTGGAAAAGGTGGAGGGTATCAAGAGAGAATATAGAAGGCGTGTTGGAGAGTGGTTGTGCGCTGGGTCCCTGAAGGACCAGACATCGTTCCAGAAGATCTTGGAAGATGTGGAGAGCGGCTCCGAGATTGTCACCGGTCCGCTGGAGGAACTGGTCTCCTTTGCAAGGGGGAAGCTTGTTCTCTCCCTGCGGGATCTGGTGAAGTTTGATCCCCAGGGCGGTCGCATGGCTGAAGTATTCAACCTGTGGCTGTTGGCTGGAAGGATCCCGGACCAAGTGAAGGCGGGCCGAACGGTCCTTATCCCGAAGTCTACCGATCCCGGGAAGATCGAGAACATTGACAACTGGCGGCCCATTACCATCGGGTCGGTTATCCTCAGAATGTTCTCTCGGATTTTGAGCTCTAGACTGCGGCGAGCATGCCCCATCAATAGAAGGCAAAGGGGGTTTATAGCAGCCCCTGGCTGCTCGGAAAATCTAAAGCTTCTCCAGGCGCTAATTAAGAGCGCGAAGCGAGATCATAGGACCCTTGGAGTCGTGTTTGTTGATTTGGCTAAGGCCTTCGACTCTGTGAACCACCAACATATCTTCCAAGTCCTGGTCCAGAAGGGTGTCGATGGACATATTATTGACATCCTAAGAGACCTGTATACCAACGCTGGAATGTATCTGGAGTCAGGTTCCCAGCGATCGGGATTTATTAAGATCCTCAGGGGAGTGAAACAGGGGGACCCACTCTCTCCCATCCTGTTCAATCTTGCATTAGATCCTTTGCTGTGCTGCCTGGAAGATCGGGGCCTCGGTTATAAGTATGGAGACCAACAAATATCATCGTTGGCATTAGCGGATGATCTTGCTCTGCTCAGTGACTCTTGGGAGGGTATGCAGCGGAGTATTCGGGTGGTAGAGGAATTTTGTCAACGGACCGGGCTGCGGGTTCAAGCGCCAAATGCCACGGGTTTTTGATTAGGCCAACTAAAGAGTCATATACCATCAATGACTGTGACCCGTGGACGATTGCAGATATACAATTAGATATGATCGATCCGGGCAGTTCCGAGAAGTATCTTGGCCTAGGGATAGACCCATGGATTGGTCTATCGAGATCGGAACTGTCTGAGCTGCTGACCCGTTGGGTGAAGAACATCGGGGGTGCCCCCTTGAAGCCACTCCAGAAGGTGGACATCTTGAGGAGCTACGCCCCACCAAGGCTGCTGTTCATTGCAGATCACGCAGGCCTGAGTGCCACCAGTTTCCATTCCCTTGACCTTTTGATAAGATCTGCCATCAAGGGCTGGTTACATCTACCGCCTAGTACGTGTGACGGTATTATTTACGTCAGCTACAAGGACGGCGGACTGGGTCTTCCCCGTCTGGCGAGCCTAATTCCAAATGTACAGGCTCACAGGTTGGTGCGGATCGCCCAATCGGAGGATGACGTCATCAGGAGTGTGGTACTCCAGGAGGGTATCCAGGAGGAGATCCGGAAAGTCTGAATCTCGGCTGGGGGGCGACCCGAGAAGGTTCCATCTGTGACGGGGGAGTTCCCAGTGTTGGAGGCTCAGGCGGCTGACGAGGCCCTATCCGAGTGGGAGAAGCGAGCTCCACGAACCATCTATCCCATTCGCTGTAAGTGGAGGAAAAGAAAAATGGATAATTGGACCAATCTAAAATTGCAAGGCCACAGGATTTGGAACTTTGAAAGTGACCAAATCAGTAATGATTGGCTTCTGCATTATGGCCACATTCCTCACTGCAAACTAATAACAGCTATCCAGTTGCGGGCCAATGTCTATCCCACACGGGAGTTTTTGGCCCGCGGCCTGGGCATCCCACACGGGAGTTTTTGGCCCGCAGCCTGGGCGAGGGTGCACCCAGGGGATGTAGACACTGCCCCACTTGTTCCCACATAATTGGCTACTGCCCGGCTGTCCAGGAGTCCAGGATCAAAAGGCACAATGACATCTGTAGTGTGCTGGCTGAAGAGGCTAAAAAGCTGGGGTGGGAGATTTTTCTTGAACCCCATCTCAGAGATAACACCAATGAACTCTTTAAGCCGGATTTGATTTTTGTGAAGGGATCCTGTGCGAAAGTAGTGGATGTAACCATCCGCTATGAGAGTGGGTTAACCACCTTGAGTGACGCCGCAGCAGAAAAGGCTAGGAAGTATCAACATCTGGCAGGGGAGGTGCGGGCCGTAACATCAGCCACTACTGTAGACTTCCTGGGTTTCCCTGTCGGCGCTAGAGGGAAGTGGTACGTTGGTAATAATGGACTCCTTTCCGACCTTGGGTTTTCCACTAGCTGCGTAGTGCGGATAGCGAGGGTCGTTTCTAAAAAGGCTCTCCTATCGTCCGTTGACATTATCCACATTTTTGCGTCTCGCGCTAGACAGGCCCAAACGTCCGAGTGGGGGGTTTGGCATTTCTCATTGCCTGCTCCTGAAAGGACATGGGTTCTGCGTCGCGTGGTAGGTAGACTCATTCGTCCGAGTAGGGGGCTTGGCAGTCTTTTTTGCCTGTGCCCGAAAGGACGTGGGTCATCTGGTCTGTCTGCTCACACCTCTCTAGACTTGTAACATCTAGTCTGTCAACAAGATCAAAATTCTTCACACAGACGACCGAGCTTGCTCAAGTCTTCCTGTATCCGCAGAATTTTGCTCTTGCTTTCCTTTGGCTGTGTCCTGGACGTGGGACTATTCCGTCTCGTCCCAAATGCCGCGTCCAATTATACTGGATTTGACAAAGCGGACGGCCCGCTTTATAAGCCAGAAAAGGTGCCTTGTAAAATTGCAAGGTTCATTAAATAGCAGGAGTAACTATGACTCTCTTACTGGGGACCGTGGTTACAACCCGGGCTTAGCTGCAGAGACACCTCCCCGTGGTTCCCGCCGGACCCCGTAACATCGGGCGACTGAATCTGTCTCTGCCTCGGGAGTAGTTCCTCCTTGCCCTATTGACCAGCGGAATCCGGCTGCTCAATAGTATTTCTAGGCGTGAAACACTGCAATAGTCCTAGTAGTTGTCTTACTGGGCCATAGCCCCTTGCCTCAGGGGCTTTTTGCGAAGCATCTCAGGAGGACTTGGGGGTGGTGTTCTTCTGGGTATAGCTAAACTCCCTAGACAAGTGTCTGATCCATGGAGTCCTGGATCATGAATTTCGTTTCGGTGGCGACTCAGACAGGAGAATTCCCGGTGGATACGACCAGGAGGGCACCTGTGTCGGCAACATCATATCCTGAGTCTTAATGCCACATACCGTTGCCCTTGACATTCTTTAACTCTGACGTGACTGTTTGGGGACAGCCCCGAACCTATGGGCTGCCTGGGAGATCTTCCAGAGGTGTATGAGGCATTCCCAGGGGTGGCTAGGCCTCGGGAACCGGTGGGTGGGAGCCTGCCGGGGGATGGGGCTAGGTCACCAGGGTTTGTGTCGCCCTCTGGTATTGCAATCCAACCTGATTTTGGGAGTCCCATCCTCATGCTGGGAGCCGAAGCCACTGGGGTGTCTACCCCGGTAGTGAAGGTTCCACAAGACCATCCAGCACGTCCTTGCTGTGGTACGAGGGTGGTGAAAGTTACGGCGTTATCAGAACATCTTAGGGGGTCCCACGGTCGGAAACAGTTCCTATTTCAGTGCTCCCGGTGTGGGAGGATGAATGAGAAACATCATAGTACCACAAGCCATTTCCCGAAGTGCCGGGGGCTCTCAGTGGAGGAGAGTACCCAGGGTGTGCCCGAATGGTGTTGTGAGGAGTGCGGCCAGGAATTTAACACCAAAAGCGGCCTATCTCAGCACAAAAGATCTGTGCACCCACTTACGAGGAATGTGGAATGGATAGAGGCAGCTCGTCCGAAAGGAAAAGGGAAACATGGTGCTCATAAGGGCTGTTGGACCCAGGTGGAGGTGGCCCAGCTGATTGAACTGGAGGGGAGATTCAAGAACCAGCGATTTATCAACAAGCTGATCACGGAGCATTTGCCATCGAAATCGGCAAAGCAGATCAGCGACAAGAGTAGGCAGCTGGCAGCAGCGACTTCCCCCCCGAGAAGTGGGAAGTGTCATCAACGAGTGGGGAGTCCTCCCCTGAAGTAGAAAAGGTTGAAGGTATCAGAAGAGAATATAGAAGGTGTGTCGGAGAGTGGATGTGCGCTGGGTCCCTGAAGGACCAGACATCGTTCCGGAAGATTCTGGAAGATATGGATAGCGACTCCGAGACCATTACCAGTCCGCTGGAGGAACTGGCCTCCTTTGCGAAGGGGAAGTTCACAGCAGCTAGAGTGTGCCACCATCGTAAGCACCCAGCTGAGGCCGTGCCTGCGCGAGAGGAGCGGAGGTGGATGAAGCGCAGGGCAGTTCATCGGGGCTTGTACCTCAGGTTCCAGCGGCTTTTTGCCTTGGACCGCAGAAAGCTTGCTGGGATTATCCTCAATGACGTCGAGGCCATCAAATGCCGCCTTCCGAAGGAGAAGGAGAAGGTGGGAGGAGGTCGCCCCCTTTACCGGCCTGGGCTCATTCCGAAGTTTGGGGAAGGCTGACAACAGTGCTTTCAAGCCCATGATCTCCGCTAAGAAGGTCGTGAAGAACATCGAGGAAATGTCTCGACGCTCCACGCCGGGACCCGACGGCCTCTCCCTGAGGGATCTGATTAAGATTGATCCCCAGGGCAGCCGAATGGCTGAATTGTTCAACCTGTGGCTGTTGGCAGGGCAGGTTCTGGACCAAGTGAAGGCGGGTCGGACTGTTCTGATTCCCGGGAAGATCGGGAACATTGACAACTGGAGGCCCATCACCATCGGGTCCATTATACTCAGAATGTTCTTTGAGCGCTAGACTGCGGTGAGCATGCCCCATTAATAGAAGGCAAAGGGGGTTTATAGCAGCTCCCGACTGCTCGGAAAATCTGAAGCTCCTCCAGGCGCTCATCAAGAGCGCAAAAAGAGATCACAGGACCCTTAGAGTTGTGTTTGTCGATTTGGCTAAGGCCTTTGACTCAGTGAACTATCAGCATATTTTCCAGGTCCTGGATCAGAAGGGTGTCAACGGGCATATTATCGACATCCTGAGGGACCTGTATACCAACGCTGGAACGTGTCTGGAGTCAGGTTCCCAGCTATCGGAATTTACTCTCTTCCATCCTGTTCAATCTCGCGTTAGATCCTTTGCTGTGCCGCTTGGAAGATCAAGGCCTCGGTTACAAGTATGGGGAGCAACAAATAACATCGTTGGCATTTGCAGATGATCTCGCCCTGCTCAGTGACTCTTTGGAGGGCATGCAGTGGAGTATTCGGGTGGTAGAAGAGTTTTGTCAACGGACCTGGCTGCGGGTTCAAGCACCGAAATGCCACGGGTTTTTGATCAGGCCAACGAAAGAGTCATATACCATCCATGACTGTGATCCGTGGACAATTGCTGGTAAGCAATTGGATATGATCGATCTGGGCAGCTCCTAGAAATATCTTGGCCTAGGGACAGACCCTTGGATTGGTCTAGCGAGACCGGAACTGTCCGAGGTGCTGAGCCGCTGCGTGAAGAACATCGGGGGCGCCCCTTTGAAGACGCTCCAGAAGGTGGACATCTTGCGGAGCTACGCCCCACCGAGGCTGCTATTCATTGCAGATCACGCAGGCCTGAGCGCCACTTGTTTGCACTCCCTGGACCTTTATATAAGATCTGCCGTCAAGAGCTGGTTACATCTACCACCCAGTATGTGTGACGCTATTATATACGTCAGCTACAAGGACGGCAGGCTGGGTCTTCCTCGTCTGGCAAGCCTAATTCCAAATGTACAGGCTTGCAGGTTGGTGCGGATCGCCCAATCGGAGGATGATGTCATCAGGAGTGTGGTACTCCAGGAGGGTATCCAGGACGAGATCTGAAAGGTCTGGATCTTGGCAGGGGGGCGACCAGAGAAGGTTCCATCTGTGACGGGGGAGTTCCCAGTGATTGAGGCTCAGCCGGCCGACGAGGCCCTATCCGAGTGGGAGAAGCGAGCTCCACGAACCATCTATCCCATTCCCAGTAAGTGGAGAAAGAAAGAAATGGATAATTGGACCAATCTAAAATCGCAAGGCCGCAGGATTCGGAATTTTGAGAACGATCGAATCAGTAATGATTGGCTCCTACACTATCGCCGCATTCCCGACCGCAAACTAATAACAACTATCCAGTTGCGGGCCAATGTCTATCCTACACGGGAGTTTTTGGCACGTGGTCTGGGCAAGGGCACACCCAGGGGATGTAGGCAGTGTCCTGCAGAGTGAGAATCTTGTTCCCACATAATTGGCTACTGCCCAGCTGTCCAGGAGGCCAAGATTAAAAGGCATAATGACATCTGTGCTGTGCTGGCTGAAGAAGCAAGGAAGCTGGGATGGGTGATATATATAGAACCCCATCTCAGAGATAATACCAATGAGCTCTTCAAGCCAGATTTGATTTTTGTGAAGGGATCCTGTGCGAAAGTAGTGGATGTAACTATCCGCTGCGAAAGTGGAATAACCATCTTGAGTGATGCTGCGGCAGAAAAGGCTAGAAACATCTAGCAGGGGAGGTGCGAGCCCTAATATCGGCTACTAATGTTGACATCCTGGGATTCCCTATTGGCGCTAGAGGGAAATGATACGTTGGCAATAACGGACTCATTTCCGACGTTGGATTTTCTACTAGCTGTGTAGTGCGAATAGCGAGGGCCCTCTCTTGGAGGGCCCCCCTATCGTCTGTAGACATTTTACACATATTTGTGTCGCGTGGTAGGCAGGCCCAGTCGCCCGAGTAGGGAGCTTGGCACTTCTCATTGCCTGTTCCCGAAGGACGCGGGTCATCTGGTGTCTGTCTGCCTACACCTCTCTTAGACTCAAAATATCTAGTCTGTCACCAAGATCAAAATTCTTCACGCAGACGACTGAGTTTGCTC